GTTACCATAAAGTTATGCCCTTTGTATCATTGTAACTTCTTGAGAGTCATTTTGTCTATGAAATACCAACTCATGACTTCATAAACGATTATTTTTTTCTTTGAAACTTTTCCAGAATATTAATATGCACCTCCCTGCAAGAACACAGCTGTTTTTTTGAGGCCAGCTCAGAAACCTGGCAGAACCTGAGTAAGCTGCAGGCATATAGCAGCCTCTTGTGGCAAAACTAGTGTACACGTAGTAAGAACTATTGAATTTCTTAAGCTAGTCTCGATATGAATCATAAACGTCTATAACAATCTCAAGTGTTAGCAAGCAAGGACAGTTGAAGAGTCTGTTTAGTTGGAGGGTCTCTCTTAGCCAGAGACTTAGCAGTACTCAGACCAGCATTGTAACAGTCCTCCTCTTCAGCTGAAGGATGAACATTGGTGGCTTGTTATAAATGAAGTGCCAGGCTGAAATTTCTGTTAATAAAATTATCTAATAAAAGTTTTTCATTACAATTCAGCAAGAGTGGAATAATGCTAGTGGAGTCCAGGGCTAGGTTTGACCAGAATAACACGTAGCTATTATACCTGCTATAAACATACTATTATGTTGAATCATTGTTCTCTGCATGGTTTTGCTGATTAAAGGGAAAACTATGACTGGTTTCACCCGGGAAGCCAAAGTGCCTTTACAGTTTACAGTAGCTAAGCAGGACTGAACACAGTTGGAGTACCACCCTGGTTCAGCAATGTGTTCTGCAGAATGCTGGCACAGCAGCAGCCCTTCAGCTGACAGGGGAGGGCAAGAAACACTTAGACATTGCTGTAGGCCTGGGAGGCAAAACAAATGGACCTTGGCATCTGCAAAGAATCCCATCACACCTACCATCTCTACAAAGACCTAACTCACACCTACCATTTCTACAAAGACCTAACTCACACCTACTATTTCTACAAATACCTAACTCACAAGGGTTCCAAAAGTGTGAAGTTGTCACACGGACCTGAGTCAAACTGTGACAGAAGTGCACATTCCTCCTGCTATGCTGATCAGCTGCAAATCTGTCCTCCTCAGGCTAAGTGGAAGAGGATAGTCTAGGAGGTGCAGGAAGGAATGGCAGTGTGTTGAAACAATGACCCTCAAACACAGCAAGGTTTTCAAAACCAGAAGGTGCTTTACTGCTAAACTGTCACAGGATTTCTGCACAACAGGAACAATCACAATAGAATACAAGAGATAACAGCGATTAGACCAAGAATTGTTGTACATTCCAGAAATATACTCCTCTACCACTGGAAATAAAGATGAGCTCAGTGGATGCTTGGGGTGTGTGTACCAGTTACCAGAACTTCTGTGCTGTGTACACCAGGGAGAGGCTACTGTGCTTGAAATTACTTTGAAATCTGTGCATACTACTTGAGAGGAACAGGTTGAACAAGTACATAGAGGCTTTAAACATCAGCTAATATTAAGACTTTTGCTATTGTTGTCTTATGGTAACTTCCCAGATTTGCCATGTGCCATTTCTGTGCTATTTCATCTGCTGCAGTTCACGAAGGTCAGATTCTCTCAATTCAGACCTCAGCCCATACACCTCACAGCACATACTACAGCTCATTCCAGATCAGTTAAAAGTTGCACAGTGCCAAATTCCCAAACAACTCCGTCAAGCACCACCCAACCTGGGAGTGTCAAGTGCTTAAAGCCAGAGACTCTTCCTTGCTCAAAAGGAAATTCATCCCTGCAGAGAAGTCCAGCAAAACACACCTCTTTTACTCAGACTGTCAAACAGAACTGTGGCATTACCAAGCTTACCAGTGTGTCAAACCAACCAACGTTCACTGAAACATGTTTTCATTGCTTTTGTTGCCACTGGGTTTCAGTCACTCCCATCTGTAAGGTGTTTTTGAGGTCTACAGATTAACAACAGCTGCAAATTAACCAACACTGTGTACATCAAAAGGATGAAATATATAGCAAAAGAAAGTTTCCTCAAACCATGCCATTCTTGCTGGATGCCTGCATCATTTGTGGCAACCCTCAAGAAAACTGGCTTCCTGCAAGCTTTTAATTTTTCTAACAAACCAACTGTATTTGTTCCTTATGTTCTGAATTTAGCTGTAGTTCATATGTCAATAATAAAAGCAAAGTGCTAAATTGAAACTTGAACTAAATAAAACAAACTCCCTAAAAGAGCAGACACAACTGATTCATCATAGTATCAATGATGGTGCAAATACTAATGAAAATGACACAGAGAATGGAAGGGACAAACAGGATGAAAAAGTTGTTGACTATTTAGAAGTTCAAAATATGGCCCTAGTTTCCTGTTTAGCTCTTTTTATTAAGAATATTATTATAAGCAGAAATCCTTAATAAATATAAATAAATTAGAGAAGACAATGTGCCTGACAGTGCACCTATCAAAATGCAACAGATGAGCAAACTACCTTTGGTAGAAAAGGGACTCTTAATTATAGAATGTTTAAGCAGAAGAGTTCAGTTTGTTCTCTTTACAAATCTTTCAGATTTCCTCTAAAGACTAGTAAGTGCTACTGACACACAGTATAGAACCCTGCTGTGACACCACCACAGAGATGACCCACTACAGCAGCAGGTGAATCAAATCAGTCACCAGGATCTCTTGCTCCACAAGATGCCTGTTACAGCAGAGATGAGCTTGCACCTGTTTTGCATTTACTAAAGCCATGAAACTGAGTTATCACAACTAGACCTCCTGGCTTCCCGTGAGGTCTTCTTTTTACACCTGAAAATGTTACCCAGACAGAACATGGAAGACACTTTCCACTCAAGCAGGCTTTCTGCCAGGCTGCTTGGAACCACCACACTGTCACTCCAGAGAGGTTATGTACATGCACAGATTCTAGGCACTGCTGCAACACATGCATGGATTCATTTTTCCAGGAGGATTTAAGCTTCTTAGAAGCTCCTTCAAAGCTTATTCTGAGCCTATGCTGCACATTCCCATTTGCCAATACAGCAGATGCTAAACTTCCAGAACCTGAGTTACAGTATATACTTAATTCATCTGTATAGTCTTGAACTTGTACATGTGCACTGCACAGAGCAGAACAGAGGACTTTGCATGGACATTTACATCCATAAGCAATGACAGTATGACTATCTGATTTAGGTCACAAAGGTGATTTCCTATAGGTACCCCCTACACCAAACATGCCACCCCTACCTGAACATACTGCTTTAAACAGGTTAAATAACATGCATTGAAAAAAACTAAACAAAAAGTGAAAAATATAAGGAACTAACAAAAAGGTGGTCAGATCCTTTAGTTCACTCACTGCCACTTGCAGCAATTGATGTTACATCACAACACATATGTGGGCACAACTGCAGTGCAGAAGCTGGGGAATGGAAAGTGTGCTACACACAATATAAAAGCAGAACTAGATGCTTTCCAAATCCCACACCTACAGTTTAAATATCTGTCAAGTATATTGCTGCTGTTGTCCAGGATAACAGGGACAGTATTTTACAAGTAGCTGAGGAACATGGGAGGAAAAACAGTCTTCTTCATAGCAGCAGCAGCATTTTGATTTTTTTCTACTTATTCAAGGTGTAACCAAATTACTTGTTGCACATACTACTAATCACCACCTCCTGTGATCATAATTTAATCTTTAATCAACATCAAGTTATTTACATTTGATGGATGGATGAAATGAAGCAGACATTCATGTGAAGTGGTAATACTAATTCTTGACAACTCACCTGGGATCCCTCTATTTAAGGGGGAGTGTATTTCATACATTTATGGTATATTTCCACTGAAGTCACATGGAAAGCACTCAATAAAAAGCCTCTTTGACAATATAAAGAGTTTTTAGAGCATCATATTTTATATTGATTTTCTATTTGGACTCCTTGACTACAATCTTAGTGACATATGCATCTTCAATCAGTAGCTTAAAAGAGTCCTAGCAGAATTAAATTCAGAGCAAGCCATCAGCTGAGCTACTCAATCAACCAGCAGCAGCAGCAGAAGAGTATTTTCCTCTGCCCTGGGCAGGACTAACCATTTCTGCTGTCCTTGCTGACAGTGTAAGCAGGCAGGGCTCAAGGCCACTGTACCTGTGCTTACAATTGCTCCTCCCCATTAGTAAGCTTGACCCCTTAGACCCTACTACCACTAGTCCAAGTTCAGTCTCACTTCTCAGCCTCAAATCCCATTCTGCCATCCCAACCTTGAACTGCATCTTCAAATCACTGCACTCTCCACAACTTGGCTCCTCCATCATCTCACCTCTCATCCCAGAGGTTCAACTCCAAGTCAGGCACCTCCTTCACTCATCGTCCCCAGCCCAAAAAAGGTTCACTCAGACCATTTTCACTTGCTTCCTCCTACTCTCTGGACCCCAGTAGAGGAATGTCTGCAGAGAAGATGGATTTCCTTGCAGTAAGAAATGGAATTTAAACAAAAATAAAAATATTTCCACTGCATAGAAGTCTTTCCCAGGACTCTGACGTTTCTTACTGTGCAGTAAGCCTCAGGCATATATTCAGCCTGGAACACCTCAGCCTAAATTAACCACAAAAACAAAACACCCTAAGAGATCAAGCGATAGGCAATCTGGATTTTAGGAAGCATGTGAGAACATTTTCTATTGTCATTATGAAATCTATCACAGAACAAGCCTTTCAGTTGTGGCCTGCTTTCTTAGGAGCACGTTCACTTAAAAATTAAAAAAGAAAAGAGGACTGCAAGTTTCACTTATTGGTGAATTCTGACTGAAGTACTGCAAGTCTGTAAGACTTCTTTGCACCAAGTTATTACTATACAGTAGGTAAAGCCAAATTAGACAGAAGCCATGAAATTTTAATAACACCAAAGTACATTTAGCAACTCTTCTTATATTTTATTGTCAGTAACAGAAATACAGTAAGATACAAGGCACACAGCTTTTGATCCTTTTACCAAAGTGTACGAAGTGCTATTTTGACTAGAAACTCACTCTTAAGTAAACATGAGTTTCTTAACATTTCCGTGGCTGTTGAATGATATAAATTCTTTTGGGCAGTATGAACTTCTCCAAGGCAGGCTGTGGCTTTTGCTGAGCCACTTGTAATGCTGCTGCATGAGTTCTGTGGCTCATCTGTAACATTAATGGAGAAAAAAAAAAACTTGCGATAGAATACAGATATTCTTCCAAAATTCCATCAGATGAAAGAAGTTTAAAAAAGGTAGTAAAGCTTGAGAAAAAATACAAATGATCACTACATAAAACTCAGTGATTCAGTACATATAATTAGAATTGCTGTTTGCAAAGTGGTATTAGTCTGACTACCTTTGGTGTACTGTTAGGTTTTTTCATCTCTTTTTTTTTGTAGTTCATAGAAGGAGCTGTCAAGATTAGGGAAGCAGAGCAAATAATCAGGATGCCAGAGTTCACAGTAACTTGCTTCAAATTCTTATTCTGGCAGATTCAAATACTCATCATTACAGTATCTCTCACTTGCTAACCTATTGGGGCAGCTTTATTATGTGTGAGGCTCTGGAAACCAATGGAAAGAAATGGATAGGTCTGAGCAGAGAAGATGGGGACCAGTGGAGGAGAAACAGGATGAGTTGTATCTGTTCTCCTTATCAAATATATCTAAGCAAAAATTCAGTATCTACATACTAAAGGTATCATCACATCTGTTCATTAAAGGCTTATGCTGAAATGATGCAGCTGATGTTTTACCAAGCTCTCTGGATGGGAACTCCTGTGTGCTTCAGAATCTAAAGACTACACATGTACGAAAAATAGATGAGAACTGTTGGATCTTCAGATTAGCATGCAAGTTAAAACTTATTAAACAGCTCTTATTAAAATAAGCTTATTAAAAGCTTATTAAAACAGCTCTTGCAAAACCAACGTGTAAGAGTCTGCATCAACAGCCTAGCAAGAGACATTGGACAGCAGCTGGAAATATGACCAACAGAAGGGTCCATCAACAGCTTTGCAACACAAAGCTTTGTGGTATATCCAAGGAAGAAGTCAAAAAGCTGCTGGAGTGTCTAACCTCAGTCCCTGGGTGGAACAGCTGCACATGGGCAACAGTGGAACGTGATGTGCCTGCTGCTCAGGGACCAGGGACAGCAGTGACATTATCTTACCCTCTTGGTACCCACTGTGCACTTGTCAGGGACACCTCCCACCTCCTGCAAGAAGCTATCTTCTTGCTTCTCTAGGCTGGATCCTTACAGAAGTTAAAGCTGTTTCAACAGTGGGATAGAGGGACTGAAGACTAGGTTTTGTTCTGGGTTGTAATCCCAGCTCTGCCACAAGCTTGCTTTGCTACTGATTATTCTTCCCCACATTTCAAGAAATCAAAATAAAAATACTTTTCAAAAGGACACAGCTTAATATCTAGCTGTACTTTTCTGTAACAGGCATATATAACTATCCTGGGACTACTTAACATTAAATAGGAAAGAAATCAAACAGCAGAATAAGGAGGGAAGGATGGTTAATTTTAGCCATCTAGAATTTTAGCCACACAACTGCTAAAGAAGAAGATCATCTCAAGAATATTTAGTGGCAGATGACAAACATACCAATGTCACATGACAGCAGATAAAGGGAGATTAATAATTATTATTGGTTTTAATGTTTAGCTTTATGGAGAAGCCCTGACAAAGATGTATCATGTCCTCCCAGTTGTACTTACTTTGCTCAGTGCTTCTGCAAGCAAGACACCTACGTTCTGAGTTCTTGAAAAACTGGTAATAGCACTGTAAAACAAAACAGAAAAGCATTTAGCATTTTTTCCATCTCACAGAAACACTTGTCACATTTATTTTTAAGACTTAATACAAAACTGTGTTGTACTAGAAATTTAGGGTTTTGAACTAAATCCTGAACTTAATCACATTAAAGATATGATATTTAAAAAAAAGGTGTGCTTCCTCAGAATGGATCAATGCAAAACCTGTGTTGCAGGTTGCTTTATTTAGATATAGCCTTATAAAAAACCTATAGATAAAATATCCTTAAATATTTCAAAAGGGATTATGTTTTACACCGTGGTGTAGCTTCACAGAAGATGGGCACTGATATTCAGAACTACAAAATCTGACTTGGTAATTTTTTTAAATTCTGATCTACGCCCATGGAAAAAACTAACCCATTGCTTTTGGGGAGTGTTTCCTTTGAGAGCAGCAATTTGTCAAGCAAGAACTTTTTGTGCAAGATTATTCCATTAATTTCTTTATATTCCAATTAAAAACAGCCATGTTATCCATATTCCACAAATAGACAACCTGTGGCTATGACAATTTAGTTCAGCAACAGTTGATTGTGAGGTTTGCAGATTCTTCTGATACCATTACTTGCAGTGACATCTCTGTAGCTTAGAATAGAGTCAAGAAAAAAATAAATCATTATTTCTCCTGCACATGAAATAAGACACTTTAAGTGTGTCTCTTGAAATAGCAGGTACTGCTTCAGTTAATGATCCCGTGGATCAGGGAAGACACATTTCCTACTACATTTCAATTTAGCCATCAGTTTGTCACACTGACAAATCTAAGTTATACAAGAACTGTTTATACCACCAGATAAGTATGACTATGGAAAATACTGCAGCAAAACTATGCAGAAAACTGGCAATCAATGAAAATAAAACTATTCTACCTCCAGCAAAAACACAAACTGAAAATACCCAAGTTATTAAAACCAACTACAAACTCCAAGAACACACTACATTTTTAATTCTTTTTCTTAAGTAATTAGTATAGTCAAATGCAATGTACTGTCAGAAAACTGTCAGATAGGCATCTAGTGATGAACATGCTGCACTACACTGTCATGCTGTACTTCAGACAGACCCTTGGAAGCAAGTGTGCTGTTTTTAGAGCCAAATCTCAAAGCTCCCCTATTTTCAAAACCAACCTCAGCTCTTAACAGCCACTTCAAGCTGTGACAATGACTTTGAGCCAATCAGATAATCTCATCTGAATCAGAAACTTGTACAGAGTCTGTACATGACAACTACTGAGCTACCTCACAAAGTTCTCAGTGACTTCTGTGATTGCAGCCTGACTAGGAAACCCAGTAGCCCAGCACAGTGTGTGTACTGCATTGAGCCACCTCAGGTTCTGGTGCAGAGTGAACAGGAAAGGAGCGTGTGTTAATGGCTCGGCTTTGTTCCAAAAACTGTATTTTAGGTTAGTGTTCTTCAAGCCAGCAAGGAGAAAAAACACAAACAAAACCCCACAGCAGTGATGTCTGTAGCCTGTCAAGAAATGGTGCCAATATGCCAGCGTTAAATACAGCTAAACCCAGTTAATTTACAGTTATCCAGCTGATTACACTATTATAGAGCAAAAAATAAAATCACATCTTGCTCCCAAACCTGAGTTCAGCTGTCAGTCTAGTCACAAGCGTCCCTTTTAACTCCTGGCAAAATGTATTTCACAACAATGTTACTAGAGTACAGTACTTTGTAGTGGCTGTCACGACACTGACACAATTATTGCAACCAACACACAGACATTAAGCTGGACAGAACCCTTCTTGACAGCCACTGAAGATGTTCAGGAACACCTGAGGTAAAACTCTTCATCAAGAGCAACACAGGCAGTGAAAATCTCAGTGGGGAAAAAAAGTGGCAATGAGAACAAAGTCACCTGTGCTGCTTATCTATCTTATCTAATCCAGGCTTTTAAAATGGTTACCTGGGCACCATGGAAACTCTGAACTACAGGTGGCTCCTTTTTTATGGGTAAACAGAAACTGATGTGCCTACATCCCCAGTAGTGGAAGGAGTAATTCACAGCCTTCAGGATAATTCCAAGATATGCTTTAGCAAAGACATGATTCTAGAGCTGCTCCCAGTTTGGACAGGCCTCTTCAGCAAGCCCAGAGCAAATTCTCATGAGGAAAATAAAAGACTGCTTGAAGGGAGCTCTAATCTTGAGAGATACTACAGAATATTTAATCTTGTTTCACTTCAGTTAATTTTTATGCATAAAACTAATCCCAAACTGGGACTACAGCAGAGGTGTCTACATGTAGACAGAAATCAGAGCCTAAACCTATGGGTGAAAATATTTGCTTACAAGTGCTTTTTTACAGCAAGATGACAAAGTCACTTTTACAGCAACAACAGATGTGTTTCCTACCCATACCTAACAAAGTAATGGTCAACAGTTTCCAAGGCAAGGAGGAATTTCAGGCTCTCCTCCTTCTAAAGGGAACAAACCTCTCCTTCTGCTCTCAGATGTCTACAAGATCAGACTGTGCTCTCCTCTTGGAGCTGGGTCACTGGGCAGCAACATTTTGATGTTACAGAGGGGTAGGAAACAGTGAACACGAGGTGCAGAAGCACTCACTAGAAAAGGATACCCATGTTCCAGCCTCAGCTCACACATGATTTTGAACACTGACCAAAGGTATCAAATGCACGAGTTACAATGCTGAGTGGAATTTTAGATGCTCCTCCCCAAGCACAGTACTTTAAACATGTTTTTTTCTTCTCCCCACAAAGGTTAATTTTTTTTTTCTTCTACGAAGTCTTCTATGAAATTTTCAAGAGAAAGCATCTCTAGCTCAGGGGTGAAGGCAACTGACCCAGCAAGATATGTACCACTTTTAGCTAACAACAGGCTAACATTCTGGCCTTCAATGTCCTCACAAATGTCCTAATCATCACATGGAGGAGGAGATGTACACCACTTCCTTGCACAGCAAGGTCAGAGCTATCAGGACACAACAGATTTGTTCCCAGAGCAAAGGGAACTTTTGGTGCACAAAAAAGAAGGCATGTGGTGAGATAAGGAACATCCAAACTGGGTGGCCAGTGGGAAAGTTTAAAATGGTAATAGAAGCAAAAACTTAAGTGTCTAACGCCTATTTAGGCACCGTGATCCATTTAGAACTTGGACCCTAATGTTAATTCAAGAACACTAAACCACTAAGATTTTACCCTCTTATCCCTCCATTGTAAGAAAATATTTGTTCTGGTGATTACTTCAACCAGCCACTGCTACTTCATTCTAAAGTAGAAGTGTACCTTCATTTTGGGGAAAAATAGCTTGAGTAACCTTCGGAAGTAGAAAGCAGAAAAGGCCAAATTAGATTTGAGATTGAAGCAGGAAATAACAGACCATACAGAAGATAAATCCACACCTCCCCCAAAGAGTCTATTAATCTCCTACAGAATAAGGACAGCTTAAAAATTATTCTTATTTAACTGGAAACTGTTCAACAATTACTTTATTAAGTACAGGTATGCAACACAAAATTATTCTTATTTAACTGGAAACTGTTCAGGTATGCAACATGTTGCTTTAGTTTCTGTTCCATAATACATGACAAGACAGTAGAGATTCAGCCTTTGTCTTTCACTGCAAAGTGTAGTCCCAAGGTTCTGAAGGCTGAGGATTTTTTGTTTGGAAGTTCCTCAGAGTTGCCTTTAATTTATAAAGTGCACAATTTAAGAATTAAACTCTTCAGTTTAAGAGTTTAAGAGGTGTCCTTATTTTCAGCCTCCAGCCCATTACCTATGAACTTTAACCATGGAGCAAGCCCTGTAGTGCAGTACCTTGTCTTTTCTTTTCCTGGAGGTTTAGCATTTTTCTGACCAGGTCTGTTTTCTGCCTTTTTAGACACCCTCATACCTCCAGCTTTGCCTGCAAGAAGAAAACACAACTCATGTAAAACTATCAATAGAATTACATGCTACATTAGTTACACTTAAAGAAGTAAAATTACTTATATCTGAAACAACTGTTAACAAGAAATCACCTTTCAATATTTAACTCCATCCTTCACTTTTAAACACACATACACACAGAAGAAAGCCTAAGAGATCCAACAAAGACTTGAAAATTCCGTGCCATGGCATCCTCAAATCAACTTCCAAATACCGTAATCAAGAAGTCAGAGGGGTTTTGGTCACTGCTAACTGCATTAAATCTTAACACCATATTATATTACTATCAATTCTTTTCCTCTGAATCTCAGGTGTAATAGTTTACATTTAAAATTTAAGAAAGTAAAACAAAGAAACATGTTCAGGTTTTCAAACAATGTCACTAACAGCAATAAAGGTTTCATTATTTGCTCCAGGTATTCTAGAATTAACCTAGTATTGCAGATAAGAACCAGCTGCATACTTATCTTGCACTTGTGTTCTAACAAGTTTAATTATATTTTATTAAGATATCTGTCAATCACAAAACCAATTAGCACTAATTAAGCTACAGAACATCAAACACTAACAATTTAAGTTCTAAGGTATGTCAGAAATTTCAGCTTGGAACTAAGAACATGTAAAGTTATCTAAAACATCTTGATGAAAGAAATACTTTGTGCCTGTTCACTAGGGCTTAAGTCTTAAAACTGTGAAAGTAAGAACAAACTTATTGAACATTTATTATTTTGAGGAAGATGCTTCATCTTACATTAACGTTCCTATTCTTATAATGAATAATCAAGACTAGAGTTTTCAAATGCAAATATCCGGTGGCAGGAGTCAATAGGGAATGGAGAAAACCTTCAAGAATGACCCAGTTAAATAACATGAGAATTGTATTTGGCCATTTTTGTGGGAACAAATGTGTCCATCTGTCAGTAACACCTGTTTTGTATCAAATCTGACTACTCTCCTTTTTATTTCCTGGTTGCAGGTTTAGTTTGAGAAACAAAAACTCTCGTTCAGTTAAGTCCAAAGCATCTTTACAGTGCTGGAACTCCACAGTATCTAGACTCAGCTTTTCTTTTCAAAATTACATATCTGGAGTTCATTGTATTGCTGTATAAGCAGCAAATTAACTGCCTAGCAGTCTCCGAGCTACAAATACACTAGAGAACAAAACTGAACCAAATTCTTTTGGAAGTTTAACTACAAATTAAAAGTCTCCTCTGAAATGAAAGTGTCAACCATTTCCGATTATCTACCAGTAAGGAGAATCAAGACTCTAAATACCATCAGTTCACAAGGTGTGAAACTCTTCTCTTTGTTAGCAACAGTTTACTTGAGAGACATCTTTAAACAAGAATGATGATGGATTAAAAAAAACCCACCCCTCCTCCTGGAATATTTCAAGATCTCAAACTGACATCTTCTTAGCATTACATTCTCTTCTTAACAAGTTCACAGAAACACAGAATCACCTTGGTTGGAAAAGATCTTCAGGATCATCGAGTCCAACTGTTAACCCAACACTGACTAGTCCTTAACTAAACCATATCCTTAAGTACTGTGTCTATTTGACTCCTAAATCCCTCCAGGGATGGTGACTACACCACTACCCTGGGCAGGCTGTTCCAATGCCTGCTAACCCTTCCAGTGAAGAAATTCTTCCTAACAACCAATCTAAACCTCCCCTGGCAGACCTTGAGGCCATCACCTCATTCTATCGCTTGTAACTTCATTGGACAGACTGATGCCCACCTCTTAACAACCTTCTTTAAGGTAGTTCATCCAGAACATCCATACAAGTTATCCCAAGTATTCTTCCACAGCTTGCTAGGTGCTTAGATTTGTTTAGCTTTTTAGGAACAAGTCAAACTGCAAATGGGAACCTAAGCTAAAAGTTGGAAGTAGATAAAACCATAACTGAACCTAAGTCAGTCACTTCTAATCTGGATGTTCACTAAGCACCCATGTGCAGGACTGGTGATAGAGACCTGCATTTTGTGTAGTTTTAATTGAGCTAAGGGATCCAGACACACAGGGAGGCAGAGACACTCTCACACTATGAAGGTCTACAGAAAGCACTAGCAGGGGTGGGGGGGTGTTGGGGGGCAGGCAGGAAGGAGATACCCAAAATGGGAGAAGATACTTAAACTTAAGTGGCCAATCAGTAATTGTGCCTACTGCAGCAAGCACAGAGACACAAGTTATTTATAATTATTAGAAATAATGCAGGAATTACTTCAGTCTTTCCACTGACTTGAAAACAGCTGCTAGTAGCAGCTGCCAAACCTCATCAAACCCATGCATGGCAGTGGAAGAGTTAAATATGGATGCATCTGGAATGCATCAGAAAGCTGTTTTGTAATTTGTCTTTTCCCTCCCCCAGCAATTAATTAATTGAGATGTCAAAGTTTTAATATAGAGTTCAATGTTTTCATATTTCTAAGTGCCTCATGAACCACGTAATCTAAGAGATATGAAGTGCATGCAAAAAACTTTACAAATTTTCACTAAGGTACAGTGGTTTGTGGGAAGCTACCCCAAAGGCAATGGGTGGTGGAACTTTCAAAAACTGGGACAAAAATTTGGCAAAGGCCACCTAGTTAGTTAATACCAGGGGATCCATCAATTGGGCTGGTCCTGCTCAGTCAGACCTTTTGCATACTGCAGATGGGAATAAAGTCCCTGTGGTGTGTGAGAGGAACTTGCTGGGTAAAGGTGTCTGGGTCTATCCTGCTTCAGGCAAAGGTAAACCTGTCAGGGGTATTGCTTTTGCTCAGGGACCCGGACACACCTGGTGTGTGATGATGGAGAATCACAGAACCCCAGGGGTTGGAAGGGACCTGGGAAGCTCCCCCAGCCCAACCCCCCTGCCAGAGCAGGGGCACCCAGAGCACATCACACAGGAACGTGGCCAGGGGGGTTGGAATGTCTCCAGAG